AAACTATAATTATTCTTGTAGACCAAAAAATTAATAATCACTTTTTTTAAAAGAGCGAAACGGGAAATTTCAATAAATCATTTTAATCTAAAATTTTTCCAGAAATGAAAGCTTTTCGACCTATCGCATTATTTCTCTGCAATGACACTATTTTTTTTCACTATTTTATCGACCAATAATGTAGTACGTGAAAATATATATATGATACTTATATAGATATACATATAATTTTATTTTATGATTTTACTACACAATAGATAGAATTTAGTTATTTTCTTTTTATGTTCATAATTGCGTTAAACAGCTGTATGCATTCCATCTCAAAGCTATACTATAAATGCGCAAAGGCCCTACAGTGCCAGGCACCTAGTTCCTCCAGCAGGAGAAAAACAATTGCGTTTGGTAGCCAATTCCTCCGGGTAAAAAGCTGAAGAGTTGGCAACTACGCATCTGCAATGATTATCAATATTTCATTTATATGCGTCGAAATTATTAAAACACAGCTGGTCTATTTGAATTTAGATCAAAATTATTTACTCAGAAATGCAATGCATACATACTGATTTTTTTTTTGTAAGATTTTGTTTTTAAAGTGAAAACAACGTTCAAACTTAAGAATTTTGATTCGATATTCAATAGATTTCCTTGAAATTGCACTTAATTAATGAATAATTTTAACACCTATATCTACGTCCTTGCAGACCTCAGTATTTGTAAAAATTTTGCGATAGGCAATTAAAAGTCTGGAATCAAATACATTACGTAATGTGTATTGAAGCAAATTATCCTTTTTAATTTTCTTCTGTAGATCTAGACGCTAATGTTAGGAAATTAATTTTACACAAATACTTTTCACGTTTATCAATAAGGGAGTTATAAAGTAATGAGCATTTTTAAAGTAGACCTGGAATGCAAATTTGTAATTGTATTCGTAATGTATTCCTAAATATTTAGGTATCTCCTGAAACATTTCTAAATTTTAATTTTAACACATTGAATGCCATGGGGATCACCGGTGACCGGCACTGAGTTTGTTCGTAGCGCCACGGGGTCACGAACCAAGATTATTAGAAACACATAGTTCGAGTAAATTTTAATTACTTTTAATTTTTTAATATTATTATCGTTACTATAATGGTTTGAAGAAATGAATGCAATATAGAACACGCAAAAACAGTTTTATTTATCTACGCAGATGTGCCAACTTGCTCCGGACAGAGAATAAATATTTTCAAGTGATAGCTTATTAATTGTGATTCTTGGTAGATTTTCTATTAAATGCTTTTTTCGTAAATTTGTTTACTTTCATAATGGTCTGATCGGACTACCTACAGAAAAACCGTGTGGAGGCTTACAGCTACAAGAGGCTTTGTTATAGCCTTAAAGGAGAGGTCATAATAGTCTAAGGTTATAGCAGGCCTGAAAGCGAAACGGAAAAGAGAAAATATTCAATTCAATTTAGCAGATTTTTATCCACCACTATTTCAAAACAATTCGTAGGCTTATATTATTCACCACATTAAAAATATGTCTTGTTAAACCTTTTAAAAATGTAGCAAAATCTGTCTAATATTTGCTAATTTAGTTAGTAGTTATTTACCGAGGCATTCAACGTGTTAAAGAAGTTTTTATAGACATTTACTGATATATCAAAAACTTAAAGGGATCTGTATCTTCTCCAAGCAATATCTCTAATGCTTTTAATGGCTCAAATTGCTAAAGGCTAAAAAAAATAAATACGAAACATGGACACATTTTTCCTATGGGAATATTTTCTGCACGTAGTACGAGACAAAAACGCGCTGGACTGACATTTCAGTGAGGCATTATACCGTGTGCCTCAGTGTCATTGTTTATGGCAGAAGCTACAGGGCAATAAAATTCTTCGTTTCATTCTCGGCGGGGAAATGTCCCTTAATGAAAAGAAGGAAACGTGGACATAAAAATACTTATATTTCTTTCCTGCCTTAAAGGCTGTATTATCGTTGGATGCGAGAAATGCTAATAAATGAATAGATTGAATGTTTTGTATTATGGACTTGTAAATTAGAAGATAGGATTTATAACTCTACAACCAATCGTAGTTTAAGGTACGAAGCAGTGGCACAACCATTACCAAAATGCATAGTTGTGAGTTAGTACATAGTGATTTTTTTAATACTAGGAGGGACTGCTTTTATTTTATGCTGATTTTTTTAAATATTTTTTATTGACGCTTCGCTCACCAACCTCTGAAAACTATTCTCATTCCTCATTGTTTATTTCGCTTTAAAAGTAAATTTTTACCTCAAAAACACATTTTGGTTTCAAAATATAATATTATTGCAGGGCTGCCAACTTTCGACGCTTTTTGTAAAATTTTATTCTATTGGTAGCTGTGTTTATGTTTTAATGTATTATGTTTTATCCATTCAAACTTATTTTCCACACATTCAAACATTCTGAAAGCTTTAGTTTTTAAATGTATACCACTCAATAAAATATTTAGCAAAATGCGTAGTTGTTGACAGGCCTGTTATTCTAGTTTAATGTAAGAGCCTTATGTTAACCTCTTGGGGACGGGTGATTCAGAAAAGCATTCGTACAAAATCAGAATCAGGGTGTAATTAAATAAAAAACGGTAACATAAATGTAGTCGTTGCTAATTTGACAGACTTACTTTGCTTTTACTTTAATTATTGTTAGTTTAATCACATATATAATCAATGTTAATTCAAAGTATAACTAAATAGTTTTATTTTGAACAAAGTAATGGTGAATTAAATAAATCAAACAATTATAACTCCGCCCACAAATAAACTGCTAAAGAA